TCTAAAGTGTAATCTTAAAAGAAGAGAGAAGATGTACATCCTAGAACATACTAAAGTAGAAACTCGACCTCAAGTGAACCCCCAGGAGAAAAACACAAAAATTTTTTTCATTAGATCAGTTTAGAGCAAAGCTAATCTGCATATTGAATCTTGAGGGTAGTGGGCATATTTGGGCAGAGGAAAGAGAGGAAAATAAAATGTGCCGAGTACAGCTTGGAAAAGATGGATGTAGACTGCATTGTGCATTTGAGTCAGAGTAAATGTATGTGCGAGAATGTGCCCATGTGAGTCATAACCTCTACCTCCTCTGCAGAAAGATGGATGTGGTTTCCAGCCTGACAGAGAGGAATGAGCTAATGAAGTTCTCCAGGTTGCCTCGGTGAGACAAGAGGAAAAGGGCAGCAGGAAAACAAAAAGAGGTGGAAAAAGGGGAAAGAAAAAACAGTACGGTAATAAGAAAATAAAAGGGTGAACGGATAAGGAGAGAGGGAAATGAAACAGCTTGACTTTTGGCTGCAGGAAATGAAATGAGCTGCAGATGACTTGAGCAAGAGTGAAAAGGAAGAAAAAGAATTTAGCAGAACTTTGATAAAAAGTATTAGAGGAACGCTTTGATAACAGACCACATCAACTGGGGAAAAAAAGAAAAAAAAACACTGGATATACTAATTGGGAATGGGTAATGCATTAGGGACAATACCATGGCACATCATTTCATGAAAAAGAAAATTTTTAACCCACAGAGGACTTTAGAAGTCACAAGGAATGTGACAATGAGAACCTGATGTGATTTATTAAAAATCACTGCAGCAACTCTAAATGGTGATCAGTACTTTGTATTAGACTCCAATGCAGTCATGATCCAGACACTGACCAGGGCATTACCAAGATCCTGAAAGGTCAATAGCAATTTTACATAAAACAAGGATGCTAAACTTCAAAGGTTTATATTTCATGTATTACCTATGGGAAACATGTTGAAGAACTACAATAAAAAATATATATATATTAATAATAAATAAGGCAGGATTTTGTGACTATACAAATCCACCATTTATAAACTCAAAATGAAATCTAAATATTATGTATATCATGGAACAATGCAATTATTGTAGAAAACATGAAATAAATCACTACTTCATCAAATTCTTTTCCAGAAAGTAATTTTTTTAATGTCCTAAAAAGTCAAAGAGGAAATTAATATGAAACGTATTTTTGATGCTAGAATTAGAATGTGGAAAACTGTTAATATAGAGTTAAAGTCATTTACATCCTTTATTAGTTTCAAAACTGCTGTGCTCAACATTATTTTTGAAAATGATCATTTTAAGTGAAAAGTATTCTCCTGTATTATTAGAGTTCTTTATTATTGTTATAGATATAAGTATAGCTTAATTTTTTTGTAAGAAGGCAAGCAGACATATGCTTTTCCTTCATGCTAAGCCTTGCAGTCACAATACTCTCTTTGTAAACAAGAAGTGACTTTATTTTTTATGTGTCTGTATAGACTCAAACTAAACTGAAGTCTATTGTGCAACCATGTGGTGTTACATGGAACCAAATACGACTCCCCATAGAAGGATTGTATTCGGTCTTGGAGCATGGAGGCCTGTTAGTTGCATCAACTCCTTTGTTCTCCAGGAAATGCCTGCAACAGCAAAGGCTTTACCTGCAGGTCTAAGGAGTTCATTCCAACTCCTAACAGGACTTAGGATGCTATTGTTAATCCTGTATGGTTTGTGTCAGTAGCTTGCCTCACCATTCCAACAGTAACACCAACGATCTGATAATGTCAGACAATGTTGCAGGCAGCCTAATCTATTACTACAGCTTCTCCATAGCCTTTTAGGTGTGTCACAAAGTGAGCGAAAAGTGAACTAGCTTTCTTCTGTAAAGAGAACAGCATGCCATTGCTGAACCTGCCAAAGCCGGTTTTCTCTAGTAGATGCTAATCGAGCTCCACAGAGCTGGGTAATGAGAACAGGGCCTACCAGAGGACGACGGCCCCTTGGGCCACCCATTATGAAGTTTGTTTCTAATAGTTTGGTCAGAGATATTCAAGCCAGTGGCTCAGGTAAAAGTCACGTTGCAGGGCTCTGGCAGAACTCATCCTCTTTCTTCTTCTACAGAGAAGCAGAGATACAAGAGTATGGTCCCAATCAAAGCATAATTATGTGTTAACATAACCCGACAAAGTCATAGGGATTCTGTACCACTTCTTGGGAGGAAAAAAAATGGCAAAAATAACAAAAGTATGTTTGCAGAAGCTCTCTACCGAAGCTGAAAATAATTATCAGCAAAGACCTCATGCTGCAAATGCTAAAAGCAGTGCAATTAAGGGCTAAGGAATTATTTCAAGGGTATCGAGTTAAAGGGGAGTAGCTCATAGGCTCAACATACTTTTCTGTTCTTTATCTGCAAAAGAAAAATCATCCAGCTACATGAATCACTCTCTTCCACCTCACAATCTAGTACAATGTTGTGTTGATCCATCACAAAAATATCCTATTGAAAACCATCAAAGTTTGTGGCTGTTACATGGCAAAATGTGAAAACACATTATAGACGTATTACTTTCTCAAAGAACTGTATAAAAAATTGACCTGTAGAAAGAAGGGAAATTAATAAAACAGCTGAGAGAGAGCAAACAGAAAAAAAATTTAAACGAAACACAAAAAATGAGAGAGAAAGATGGGGAGGGAAAGCAACTAGCACCAGCTGGAGAGGAAAAGAGGCTGATGTGTGCACTCAGTCCAGCTGTTCATTAAACAGGTCTGCTGCTAATTAGGCTGCGATGAGGTCACACTGCTCGAGTCATTGATTCCATTTCCTGTTTCAGGCAGCCAATAGCAAGCTGCTGTCAGACTGGCACCTGAATTTCGTCCAGGGTGATGAATGATTCAGACGCTGGGCCAAAATCAACAACCCTCGACAAACACAGTGGGCTAAGTTATTGGCTGGTCAGTGCTGAACTAGGTCTCCAGGGGGAAAGAACAAACATTTAAATAAAGGTAGGGAAAAAAGAGAAGGTCAGATGGTAACGGCAAAGAAAAGTACATAGACTGGGATTTAGAGATGAATGTTATTTATCTGTAAAGCATGGTTGGTGTTAAAAACAAATTTGTTCTAATTTAAGACTGGTCTCATCCCTCCTTTATCCCCAGTGGAAGTCTGGTGAGAAAGATTACCTCTGAGGCAGTCTTTAAAAATTGTAATGAAACTGCTGCAAACTTAAATCCAATCATGCAGTGGCAGAAAGCCAAATTGCAGCTCTGCATGACACCCTGCACAGGAAAAGCAAATAAACTTATGATTTTAAGTACAACGCCATCTGTATGTAATTTCACATGCACCAAAAACATACCTAAAGACAAAAAAGACAAGCCGGTAATAGGATTGTGTGATATGTCAACCTTGTTTAAGGGATATTACCGGTATGTAAGAATTACTGTCATCTCACAGGGAAATGTGGGAATTTCACCTGTACTAACACTAAATCCAGCCCATCACTGCCTCTACGTATTGCAGCAACATGGGCCGCCGTGTGTCTAAAAGCCTCGACAACGCAGATGTAACCCGTCATCTGAAGTGATGAAGTCTTTCAAAATGGAATTTACTGTGACAAAAAGCCAGCGTTCACAGCGGCTTTGAAAGCTAACAACCCCATGTAAATCTGCAAGATTGGTATACGTTTATGCTATCTACTGTTATACCTTCTGTGGTAACGAGCAACTCGTCTAATTAAACCAAATCGAAAATGTTAGGTTTATCAACCAAACCCAGCCGGCCGGTGCCCCCCCTCCCATCCCACCGAGCTAACAAGTAAAGCTCTTCTTTTCCCCTCTGTTTATCTGATGCTTCAAACTTGGGTGAGATAGGTAGGATATTTTACATGGGACTTTTATCTGAAAGAGGCTTTCTGATTCAACTCTTCATGGTTCTTAAGAGTCTGAACTGACTGCTAATTCTCACTGTGCCTGACTGAACGATACATGCTGTGTGTCACTGTCTGCTTAAGCAAATACTGTACGATTTTTTGCCCTTTTGGGGTCGGTTTTCCAGTCGTGCGAACATTTTTAGATCGGGCACAGTTTCAGCATCTCCGCAAGTTGTGTAATCTACAGAGGGTAACAAGGGGCAATTAGCCACTCACGAACACCTCTAGATCAGGAATCGTAAGGTTTGGAGAAAATTAAACATGTTTGAAATTCAGTTGGCCGTCGTAAGAGCGCATCCGAGCGTCGGGCCGCACAGTGTGAGAACATGTATCGTGACCTTTGAACTTTTAAACCCTGCTGTTTTGTCGTGCAGTTTGAGCTGCAGCTGCATGCAACAATTGAAAATGTCGCACAATGTATGCCTGTCTTAAATTCCTATTTTTCATTTGTTTGAAGAGTTATGCTACTAGGGTTGGAACAGGTAGCATCGTTAGTTCCAAGGGAGGGAGGGAGGGATGTACAGTTCCCAATTGTCTCCTGACATTTTTAAGCAACAGTACCAACTAAGTACCAACTCTTCCAAATATAACAGCTAATGGACAGCATGTGGATTATATAACCACTTGTTTCATGCTATCAAGGTAAGAATAGAGTATACTTCAGCAATACCATACAAAATCAAAGGTTTTTTTTAATCAACAGTTAAACGGTTTATATTGCAGGGCTGTGATGACAGAACACTTCCTAAAAAAAGTAAACGGTAGATGCTTGTTGTTTGTAAGGGAAACTCCAGAAATTGTCAACCTCATTTTGTTTTTCCCAAGCACATTTTGACATGATATATTGTTCAAACCTGCAGTACATGTCAGTGCTCTTTGAGAATGCCAAATTATGTACATCCATCCAGATGGCCAAGACTGGCAAGGTGCCGTTCTTACTCAGACCATTAAATGGGTATTTTTAACTATTTAAGAAAAGCTTCTCTTAGTTCTTACACCTAGAAACTCTACTATCCCATTATTTATTTACTTCACTATGACCAAACATGCCATTTTGTCTCACCTCTGGGGGAATGGGGTCCAGCCCAGCGCAGTTCTCGTGGCATTTGTCATAGACCAGACGCAGCTTTCGAAAAAGAACAGAAAGCATCCGTAGGTGCTCTTGAAGTTTTGCCAGTCGGTCCTGATGGGTGTTGGGGTGATATGTCACTCCATTAGGCAGCTGAGAAGAAAAAGAGAGTGAGAGACTTTATAATAATGGCCATTAATGCATGGCTGCATTCTTCAAGACACAACGGCAATTATTTTATTTTACATCAAATACACATAAAAAATAAATTAAACTGTCAATGGATCAGGCCGCCTTGGCCTTGGGTAGAGGATTGGCTACGCAATCCTCTTAGCACCGGTCCCTCATGGATCACCCTGCAGGTACTTGTTTGTCTGGCCCATCATCAGAGTGCTGACACCCATCCATATTGTTCATGTGGAGTTTCAGGGAAGTGGAATGTTATTTAGCTCTCATGGCTGACATGCCTCTGCAACATTGCATGCTGGATAGCGACATGGTTCCTGAACTGGCAGACTGGGGGGTTGGGGGGGTCCCCCTGCACAAGAAGGGGGAGCAGAGGACATGTTCCAACTATAGGGGGATCCCCCTTCTCAGCTGCACTGAGAAGACATATGGCAGCTTGCTGGAGAGAGTCTGACCATTGAGAATGCGCCTTAAGAGTGGTGTGGTTATCATCCCGGCCATGGAACACAGTTCTACTCCCTCGTCTTTGCTTTGTGTGAATGACATGGTTCTGCTGGTTCCCTCCTGCCAAGATTCATAGCAGGGAGGATCAGAGCTGAGTGCAAGGGATTGAGGATCAACTCCAAGTAGACGTCATGTTAAAAGTTGGCACGCCTTCAACAGACGGACCAGTGTGGCTATAGCCTGACCCAGGAATTCTCTCTATAGAAAAGTCCAAAACAGTGTAAAATGCACTTTATTTTTACTTGCAGGAAATATTTGGATTTTGTTTCATATGAGAATTAAACACAGAAAATTCCAAGTAATTTGTGTCTAATCAATAATGGTCTCCAGGTTGCCGAAAAGGAAGTTAACCATTTCAAACTGATCTCCATGGCAACTGTTGAAATCACTGTTGTTAAAGAGGCGACTCTTACCTATTCATAAACATCCAGCTAGCAGAATGTTACTGTAACGGTATGAAATGAGGAGGGTGAAGACAAAGCTGGTTGGGCAGTCCCTCAATCCAACAGCGAGCGCCTGCTTCAGTTTTATTGTCCTCGTTTAATTGTTTGTTATTCATTTTCGTGTTTATACTTAATAAATGTAAAAACTTGAAAGTTTTAGCTTTTTTCATGTTTGGTTTAAAACAAAAAACAAACTGCCTGAATATACACAGACCCATAATGCTGCTTCCGCACCATCTGTTGTGGTGAAGAGAGAGCTAAGCCAAAAGGCAAGGATCTTGATTTACTGGTCAGACTCCTTTCCTACTCTCCGCTATGGTAAAGAAATCTGGGCTTGACCCGAAGAATAAGATACTTGATGCAAGCAGGTGAAAAGAGCTTTTTTTAAGGGGTGGCCGGCAGTCCCTTAGAGACAGAGTGAGGCACTGGAGTAGAGCCACTGCTCATTTACATCAAAAGGTATCAACAGACGGCTTGGACGTCTGTTACAGATACACCTCTTAGCTGGCCGTGAGAGGCCTCAGGGTTTCCCCAGAGGAGCCGGAGGGGATTTCTGGGGAGAGGAAAATCTGGGAGTCCATGCAACCCAAGTCCTGGATATGCAGAAGACGATGTGTACCTTAAAAAGATAACTCGGCTTTTAATTTAAGAGTAAAATTAAACAGCTACCACTTCAGGTATAGCTGAAATACTTTAAATGCAGCTTTATACTAGATTAAATCTCAATTCAAGAGCAAAAACCACCAACGGATCTTTTTTTTTTTTTTTTTTTTTAAGGGATAACTGGCATTAAAATACAATGGGTTTTAAAGCAACAACACATACTTTCATTCAGAGGATCAACAAGCCCCTTGGGCACCAATGTCTGATTATAAGCATCCTACATAACATGAACAAGCCTGCCTGCAGGGCGAACACCGAGACAGTGAAAGAGCGGCGAGACGGGAATAAAGAGAGCAGAGGAGAGGGTACAAGAAGAATTTTTATTAGTAAGATAGTGTGTGATCTAAGAAACAAGTCACAACAATGTTGTTTGTGAATTCTGCTGCACAAGAAGAATGCTTGTTTGGCTCTGATGCAAACATGCATCAGGAGGAGCGCCTCACAGGATGATGGAGACATTCATGTAAGCTCATTCTGACCTTACTCTGAGAAAGCCAAAGCTGCTGCGTGTGAACTTCAGGGAAAACTAAGCATAACCATAAAAGGAATTCAGGGATAATTGATTTCAGCATGACCTCAAAACAAGAGCACAGCAGATATACTAGTAAACAAAACAAAAACATTAGCTTAAAATGTGAATCAATAAGAGAATGTTGTGGTTCAGATAGCAGCCGTTTCTTCCTCACAGCTCCTCTATTTTTTATATTATTAAATTCTGAAAATAAAATAAAATTACTCACACTGCCTCTTTAATACTAATTGTCTAAATACCACCTTTGATTGTAAAAGGGAAAAATGCAAAAAGCTAATAATTGTTCTTTATTTTCCTTTTTTCAACCTTCTACAATAATTTGTCAGCATTTTCCTTCCGAATGATTCACCTATTTTTACATGCCGAGATTAGACCTTAGCATTTTGCAGCCAATGGACTGTAATTGGTCCATTAAAGAGCCCATTAGAGACGTCCCTGCAGCAGTCAGCCCAAAAAATAAATAGTTAGATAAAAAGTATTCTTTCAGAGAGCAAAATCTGAATACAATTTTTATTTTTTGTAAACAGATTCCATCCTTTTACCTTTATGTGGAAGTTACTTCAGCGCCCTCTTGTGGCATTATAACTCATGGCAGAAAAAAAAAACTAAAAGCAGAGGATGCATACAGTAGGGTTTACAAAAAAAAACATAAAATGGGTGTTCTTTTTGTAAAGATTGCAGCTTGAAATACAATATCTGTCAAAAACAAAGGAAGTTGCTAATAACTTAATATAAAAAATGGAGGCATAAAGTTTCAGTTAACAGCTTGAAGATCGCTTTTTGATACTTTTACAGGTGCTGGTCATAAAATTAGAATATCATGAAAAAGTAGATTGATTTCAGTAATTCCATTTAAAAAGTGAAACTTGTATATTATATTCATACATTACATACAAACTCATATATTTCAGATGTTTATTTTGTTTAATTTTGATGATTACAAATGACAACAAATGAAAATCTCAAATTCATCATATCAGAAAATTAGAATATTACTGAAGACCAATAAAAACAAAGGATTTATAGAAATGTTGGCCAACTGAAAAGTATGAACATGAAAAGTATGAGCATGTACAGCACTCAGTATTTAGTTGGGCCTCCTTTGGCCTGTATTACTGCAGCAATGCGGCGTGGCATGGAGTCGATCAGTCTGTGGCACTGCTCAGGTGTTATGATAGCCCAGGTTGCTCTAATAGTGGCTTTTAGCTCTTCTGAATTGTTGGGTCTGGTGTATTGCATCTTCTTCTTCACAATACCCCATAGATTTTCTATGGGGTTAAGGTCAGGAGAGTTTGCTGGCCAATTAAGAACAGGGATACCATGGTCCTTCAACCAGGTACTGGTAGCTTTGGCACTGTGTGCAGGTGCCAAGTCCTGTTGGAAAATGAAATCTGCATCTCCAAAAAGTTGGTCAGCTGCAGGAAGCATGAAGTGCTCTAAAACTTCCTGGTATGTGGCTGCGTTGACCCTGGACCTCAGAAAACACAATGGACCAACACCAGCAGATGACATGGCACCCCAAACCATCACTGACTGTGGAAACTTTACACTGGACTTCAAGCAACGTGGATGAAGTGCCTCTCTTCTTTTCCTCCAGACTCTGGGACCTTGATTTCCAAAGGAAATGCAAAATTTACTTTCATCAGAGAACATGACTTTGGACCACTCACCAGCAGTCCAGTCCTGTTTCTCTTTAGCCCAGGCAAGACGCTTCTGACGCTGTCTGTGGTTCAAGAGTGGCTTGACACAAGGAATGCGACAGCAGAAACCCATGTCTTTCATACGTCTGTGTGTGGTGGTTCTTGAAGCACTCACTCCAGCTGCAGTCCACTCTTTGTGAATCTCCCCCACATTTTTGAATGGGTTTTGTTTCACAATCCTCTCCAGGGTGCGGTTATCTCTCTTGCTTGTACACTTTTTTCGACCACATCTTTTCCTTCCCTTCGCCTCTCTATTAATGTGCTTGGACACTGAGCTCTGTGAACAGCCAGCCTCTTTAGCGATGACCTTTTGTGTCTTGCCCTCCTTGTGCAAGGTGTCGATGGTCGTCTTTTGGACAACTGTCAAGTCAGCAGTCTTCCCCATGATTGTGTAGCCTATAGAACTAGACTGAAAGACCATTTAAAGGCTTTTGCAGGTGGTTTGAGTTAATTAGCTGATTAGAGTGTGGCACCAGGGGCCATCAATTTTGAACCTTTTCACAATATTCTAATTTTCTGATATGATGAATTTGAGATTTTCATTTGTTGTCATTTGTAATCATCAAAATTAAACAAAATAAACATCTGAAATACATGAGTTTGTATGTAATGTATGAATATAATATACAAGTTTCACTTTTTAAATGGAATTACTGAAATCAATCTACTTTTTCATGATATTCTAATTTTATGACCAGCACCTGTATAAGCGACGAGAACTGAAGTCGAAAATCCTTGTGGGTCAGTAATGATGATTCTGATGCCTATATTGTGTCTAAAATGCAAACAATACTTGCAACAACATTGTAACAACATTCAATGGACAATCAGGTTCTCAAAAATAATCTTTGTTAATATGTGGCAGTTTGGGGAAAAAATGCCCATCCTTGATCTTCAACGTACCTGAGAGGTGTATTATTTTTTTTTTTAAATGCACAAGATAAACATTAGACAAGAATGACTCATGGACGATGGATAAATGGGACAGGAGAAATGGATTAATGCTTAGATAGATAGACTGACAAGTTAATGAACAGGCAAAAGAACAAACTGACAGATCAACAACCGCCTCGCATATTCACTTTTACTTTAAGTACAGCTCCTTCTATGATAATATAGAAATTGTTTTAATCCAGGTTCAGGTTATGAACATAAAGTCTTTCCAAAAAAGTAAAAAAACAAAAAAATAAAAAAATTAAAAAAAAATCCAGAGAACTTTGTTACCAAGTTTGAAGACGTTTCCATTCCTATCCAGGAAGCTTTTTTTTTTTTACTTTTTTGGAATGACTATGGGACGACTGAGAATCTTCAGCAGCATACAACAAAAAGTCTTGGTATTTTTTTTAAATTTAAATGCTGTTGTTCTAGATGTAACCTCTAACTTATTCCTGAAGCCAAAAGGAAAAACTGACAAAAATGGTAATTAGGTATAGTCACTTGGCAAATATGCAGGAACAACTACTTTACACACCAAACACTGTAGATCTAGTGCTATTAGATCTGTTAACATGTTTGTTGGAAAAAAAAGACCTAGGCCGACCTTATCTAAATCTTAGAAAAGACAAAACTATTAATTCCTAGACAGCATCACAGTTTTTTAAACTTGCTATTTTTCCCATTTACTGTTTTTGCAAAAGCTTTACTACATGATGTCAGGTACATGGACAAGATTAAACATCTGAATAAAAAGCAGCTGAAATAATATCAGAAATAATAATTAGAAGCATCAGAAAGCCCATTGAGAAAATGATCTGATCCAACTTAAAGCAACTCAGAATAATTTTATGACACATGAATAAAACATATGATTAGATGAATAGGAGTGACAGACATACCTGCATGTTCCTGAGAAGCTGAAATATCTCCATTGTCCTGAGGACAATGTCTTGGACAGTCTCCTGACCGATGCGGCACAGTGAAGACGTGTTGACATCTCTAGGAGCCTGGGTCTGCTGCTGCTGCTGCTGTAGAGGTGGTTGACCAACAAAAGGAGGCACTAGAGGAGGGGTCGTCATGGAGACAGCAGGTCAGGATGCTGAAGGAGAAGCAGATGTGTGTCTGGACGGCGGCTCTGTGGGCTGGTCTACATCAGCACACTTTCATATCCCTTTAATAAAGTGTACAGGAAAACGGAATCAGTATTAACAGCAAACTGAGATAGCATTTGACCAAATCTAACAGTTTAACAGCTGTTAACACTGGATGTTGAAATATAAGCCAGACATCACATATCTACGCATGTTTTACATTTATTAACACTTTTAATGTTAATACCCAACTTTAGGAAGAAAGCTTATTTGCAGACATTGTCATAGTAGGCAACGTTAAAATGTTGCTCATGCTAACTTAAACCACACAACTTCCAACCCATTTGTTTCAGTGCCCTCCGAATGACGCCAAGCGATTATAAATGTAATACATCGCTGGGTTTTTATTTAGAAGTGCAGATAAAATTCCGTGTGATGTTACCTTTGTGGTGGAAATGTATTCCTTTCGTTGACATTTCAAACCTTCCACCAACAAACAAGCTCCTAGGCACAGCTGCTGCTAATTGTTTCACAGTATCGCGAGAGTGCACAGTTCCCGAAATCCCGTAGTAAATTCCAGATTAGATGCGCCACTTGTCTCTTCTCTTGCTTTATTTTCTCTGTGGTTGTGGTTTTATTACAAGTTTATTTGTTCTATCCATATTTCTATCAGCTTTCCATGTGTATTCGTGTTATCTAAAATTAAGGAAGGCTTTCAAGTGTTCTTGCAAAGGAGAAAAAAAATCCCTCATGAAAAAGCAATGCGCACTATTTTAGTTATGCTTTATCTTTTTATAAAATTAAGAAACAGCGCTCCCTGCTGGTCAGACACTGGTTTAAGGTGAACATCACCAAAAACAGATCCGTACAACAGTACATACAAATGCAATTTAAACAAATTATTAAGGCAGACATGTATTCTAGTCATTCTAGCTCTGACGATGCATAAAATGTTTCTTCTTCAAAAAAGATTAAAGAACGAATAATATTTTCAAAAATTATTGAGCTGAAATTGTCTTTCATCTGAAAATTTCTGTCACCATAACCAAAAGTGAGTTTTTTTAAATGTAAAAACAAAATCTTGCTTTTGTGCCCACCACTTCCCCATTCAAAAATATTTACTGGTTCACTCTGAACAGAACTTTCATGTTTTCCTTCCGTTTCTGAGCAACTTGAGAGCTACCCTAGCAGAAACAAATGTGTCCCTTAGCTCCCCACAGGCTGATGGAAAATAGCTAGATTTTAATGCTTTGATTGGGTCAAATCTCACTGGAGGGTAAAATGAGCATCAAAGATCTACATCCATCACAAGGCAACTCCACCACATTTTTTTTTATCATTTTCACATTTGCACATCTCATCACCTCTGAGTTCCTTCAGACAGCATATGGTACATAAGAGAAAGCAGCTGCTCTTATTGAGGCTGCAGTGACAACAGATAAGAATGGCATCAGGTTTGTAACACTGAAGTATCAGTAGTGCCAGAGTTTGAGCAGACAGCTACCTAACAGAATAAGAATAAATGATGCAATTTTAGTTATCAGACTCTTAAAAAAAACTCTGGGGAAGTTCACAAGAGACAGTAAAAGATTAAATAACATGGAAACTAATTGACTTGGCATCCCTTTTAAGGAAATACAATAGCATTCATTAGCTTCAGGAGTATAAGCAATAAAAGGGATAATCTCTCCACTCACTACCACATTACACATGCTTTAATTAAGTACGTGGTTCCTCTAGGGTAACTCTGAGAGCAGCTACATCTAAGGTCACTCAGCAAATTCACTTCAAACAACTGCAACACATGAATATTTAGTTAGTGGGGGTATAATGATTGTGGACGGATGCAGAAGGGCATTTATCGTACTTTAAATTTTAGAATCACCGTAATAAAATTACCTATAAAGTCAATTTAGGATTCATCATTTACAGGATTGTAACTTAGGTAAATTAGGTAGCATTATCAAGCATAATGTGATGTAAGGGATTTAATGGCGGAGGGGCTGTGTTTTTTTTAATTTAAATTAGTGACAGACAAAGGTGAGCCAGTTATGGTTAGTAGGTTGGCAGGAAATCGGACCTTAAATACTTGAAACAGTTCATTATTGTTACATTGGAGGAACACCAGTTATGGTTTAATCGCTTCCTCTTTGCACAATCTTGCCAACTACTTTTTAGGATCTTCTTCCTGTACATACCATACCTTGCAAAAGTATTTCTGTTCCAGTTTTGTAAGATTGTAGCCACAAAATTTGGTTGACGTTACAAATATTTTATGTGATTAGACTGATAGCACATACTTCAGAGTGTGGCTGGTGATGTAGTTATATAAGATTATCAAATTCTTCAACCAAAAAACTTTAAAGTGTGTTGTAAATTTATATGCACCCCATTTGGTTAGTATTTTGTAGAACTAGCATCCTTTAGTGTACGTTTCTACCAGCTTTGTACAATTAAACAGAGGTTTTGTAGTTCTTATTTGCACAACTGCTCAAGCTCAGCAAGTTTGGATGGAGAGTTGTTCCTTGTGAAAAGAACATTTCCAGCGATTCCACCAGGTTACCATGGCAGACCAAGTCTATCCTAATGTTTACTTTTTGATCTAAACCATTCTCCATTGGCTTCATATTCATGCTGAAAGGCAATTGTTCACCAGCATTGCAGTCTCTAACAGGGTTTCTATCAGTAGTGTTTAGCTGCATCCAGTCACTTTTTCCCATTTAGTCCAAAAAGTTTAACTTGAACTGAGCTATGTGGCTTGCAGAGAACTCCAAATGTCAACAGATTGAACCACCAGAGCTGCAAAACTCTACAGATATTACCATGCTCTTCTTTTCTGCTTCTTGAATTCATGCTTTCCTTGGCTGGTCTGTTGGTTTAGGGCAGAGGTCTGCAACCTTTTAAAATCCAAAGAGCCATTTCAGCCTGAATCCAGCCATGTAAAAGTGGTCCTCAAATTTGACACGACTTAATAAAGCACAACTTATTTACCGTAGTTTAATATCTGCTATAGGAAATCTGTTGTCATTTATTGGTATTTTTAGGTTTTGAAATGAAGAAAATGTATCTTTTTTTTTTTTACTAACCAAACTGTCAAATATTTGCTGTGTTTATTGTTTGCATCAACTGTGTTGAAATCAGGTAACACAAAACTTTAGTGACAGACAGTTAAATAAGCAACGAAAAACCCAGATATGCTGCTGTAGTAAAATCTGCTTACAGCAAGCAGCTGCTGAAAGTCAAGCGTACTTTCCTTAATCCTGCCAACAGAACAGCAAACACAAATAAGATCAGTCATATTTCCTTTATATTCAGAGGTTTAAATGTATTTATTTGCAATGACTCAAAACACAAATGCTGAAAATAAATATTTAAGAATCACTTTAAGTTATAAAGGAAACTCAAAATTAAAATATAGAAATAATCAGGTGAGAAAAAGCACAAATTAGAGTTTCATGTAATTTTTCACTTGTCAAAAGATATATATTCCTAAGAGCCCTTTACACATGTACCATCATCATTGACATGTAACACTTCTAGGATGGAGCACAAAGAGCATCTAAAATACAGTAACGCGTTTCTTAGGGATGCTGCAGTGAAAGAAAGCCCTTCAGGGCCCCCAGATGGCCACGTCTAGCAGCAAGAGATTGAATCAGGTTTCTACTTTTTAGGATTTTCACAAAGTGTGCATCCAGGCTTCAGGTCAGCCTGCCGCTCCATTTGAATTGTAATGGAGTGGAAGTTGAAGGAAGAGAAACAGGCCTGGGTCATTTCTCTCAGGACAGTCTGGGCATCAACAGAATCGTCTAGGACAAAGAGTAACACAGTCATTCTCTGTACAACTGAAATGTGCATTGAGATCTAAAGAAACATTAAGCTTCAATTAATGCTTAAAAAAAAAAATATGGTTAATCTTGCATGATATGCATGTAAAATCAGCACTTAGACCAAAGGTTGTGCAACTTCACCCACTGATTTAAATATGAAACAACAATTTTCCTCACCTATAGCTATGTGTGCAGAGAGCACTGCCTGATTCATGGTGAGGGCCCAGATATGAAGGTTGTGGACAGCGATGACTCCATTTACGGCTAACAAGCGGTCACGCACCTCACTGTACCTCACCCCTGACGGGGTACCTGTAACAACGTTGAGAAGAAAGTAAAACTGATGAGGACAAAGCTGAGAAATAATCTAAATCTACAAAAAAATATAAAAAATGTCTGTCAAAATATCCATTATTTGCTGCCTCACCCTCCATTAGAACAAGCAGGATGTCCCTCATGATGGTGAAGGTGGTGCATAAGACCAAAATGGAGAACAAGAAGGTGCAGATAGGGTCTGCTATTTTATATTCTGGCTGAAAAAAAAATGCAAGAACATAAGCATAACATAACATACTATTTGGGTAATTAAATAAACATTAAATTTCTTCTGACAGACTGTAAAATCTGCTTCCCATGCAGGAAAGCAAATCCTCCCAGGGAGATCCTTTAAAGGGCAGCTGTTAAGATCAATATGGAGAATCTGCTCTGTTACTTAGAAGGAAACTAATCTAATGCAGAGATAATTTGGTTAGAACCTTCGCTTTGGGACAGGCTTACTCAACCAAGAAATTAGTGAAAATTTAATTCATGTCAAGGTGCCGGACTTATTGCACCTCTTTTGTAAAAGACCAACAGCAATTTTAAACATACTTATTTTGTTTTTTTTAACCCTCTCAGAATACATTTAACACAAAATGTTATTGCAAGGGACAAGATTATCATGCAATCTTTAAAAGCTGTTTTGATAAGGAGTTCTCCAGTTTTCTAAAGATTAAAACAAAAATGTTAAGCCTAAAAATAAACCAAAAAAATAAAAACATCACATTAACATCTGCATTGCATCTAAAAAGACCCATTGAGACAAACGACAATGGAAAAATGTGTTGCTTTAATGTCACCGCTTTGTTGCTTTTAGGGGAGCATATTAATTTGATACTGCTGTCACAAATAATTCACGATATGTTGCAAATGTCTGTGAGCACTATACCTTCTCATGTCATGTACACAGTAAATAAAAGCAAAATTAAAACAGATTAAACAGAAACATATAGTGTTCCACCAGGCCTGTATAGTTAATCATATATAATAAAGATGCTTCACTTACCTCAGCATGCTGGACAAATGAAACTTTCTGATTAACCAGGCTAATAATTATATGGCCACCAGGGGGCACCCTGGGCATTGCAATTTCTTTCCCAAACAGACATTTTAAATCCTACCCATACATGGTGAAAATTAGTTATTTTCAATGCACCAAAATATGGTACACAAAGTTATTTAAAAAAAAAAAAAAAACCTACAGAACGGCTCGCATTTCAACCCCACCACCCAATATTAAACCCACATTTTCCTTAAAACAGCAATAATTAATTTTAAACATTTTAAGTGCTGTTGATCGATAATGTTCACATCTTTCCAACAATACATTTATGTTTTTCACCATTATTTTTAGTGCCCCTAATAACTATTATGCTGAGAGAAGGAAAGTAAAGCCCACAATGATCAGCCC